ACCATTGTTCTTAATCTAATATTGTTTGACTTTCATCTTCACTTTTAAGTTTAGGTTGCCAGGATAGCACTCCAACGGCTTTATTTCTTCCAAGTATTACGGCTAAAATTAGCCTATGTCTCTACCAAGTGAATCTTGACATTTGGTTTAAAAAGTCTTGTTGCTCCTTAGACATGATTGCAGGAACTCTTCTGATCATATCTTTGCATAAAAAGAAAGCATGAACCTGTACTCTAAAACTTTGCATATTTAGTAGTTATTAACTATTTTTTCAAAAATTTAGCATTATATCTTAAAGAATGCACACATGTAAGCATGTTCTTGCCAGTCTCATATAATAAGCTCTTTCCTCAATTTTGAGTAGCATTACCACATCCTGAATCTCCCATTTTAGAGATACCTCCCATGACTCTAGAAGCTTCAAAACTTCAAAAGCTCTTACTAGATATTTCCTTTCATCTCTTTTTCTAATAAGAGAGCCCTTTAACCAGGTGTTGATTACTGAGAGAAGTAGTACAAGTCTTTTAACATTCATTGTCAACTTGGAGGTCTCTTCTTTGTGTACTGCAGTCAGCCCTCCCTGTCTGCGGGTTTCACATCTGCAGGTGTGGAGGGCTGACTTGTATTCATTGTACTGCACCATTTTAAATAAGAGTCTTGAGCAAATTCAGATTTTCGTATCCGTGGGGGCTCCTGGAACCAACCCACCATAGATACCGAGGAATGCCTGTATATCCAATTGAAAGTCAGAAAGAGAAAGAAAAATCACACAACAGCATGATAACACTGAACAGAATAAAATCTCAGCTATGAGCTTCTCAATGTTATGTTTTATTTGTGGAGCAAGGCATTTACCCCTACCTGTTATTCCAGATAAGATCTTTCTTGACCACTAAATCTATTGTTGCAGCACTTGGGGATAGAAGGTAGGGGAGCTGCTATACCTAATATCTCCTTCCCTATATTTAGACCGTCACACTTTCTAATTTTTTAAAGAGAGTTTTTGGGTGGTAGCAATTTTGATGAAGTCTTTAACTTTCAAAAGTATTTCTTTGTCAGATCTTCACAGTAGACCTTAAGCTTCTTATGGGGTGTAGTACAGACACATAGGACACTGATTTTTTTAAATGGTCTGAACATTTAATTTTTTTGTCAGACTTCTGTTAGTATGCAGTCTTTAACTTTATCACTAGCATTGCTCGTTAACATTTTATGTATTTTAATGAAGTATGGGCTAGGATACTTGGATTCTCTTGACTAAAGTTGTGCATCATGGTTGGGGTTGAGACATAAATTCTTCTCACATTCACTCATTCCCTGGGCTCGTTCTCCTAAGGGGATTTTATTATATGTCACAGACACCTTCCTGACGTTTCTCTTCTATGCAAGTGAGTTCCTCCCCTCATCCCTCTACTGGGTTGTTTTTCCTTAATTAAAAATGAATTCTTACAAATAGCAATATATGGATATTATTTGGATCTTTATTCAAATAAATCAACTTTTTAAATTAGAAAGCTATTAGGAAAATGTTAACACTCTCTGGATGTTGGATCTTACAAAGCTTTTGTTAATATTTGTTAGGTATGAAAATGGGACTATCCTTTGTTTGCATTGCTGGGGCTGGGGTTCCGCTAACCACATTCCCCCTTTGTCAGCAGGGGAGTCACCCATAGAGGGCAGTAGAGAGAGACTGGGAAGCTGAAGAGAAACAGGCGATTGCATCTTGTTTGCTTCCTATTCTTGTCTTTGTTTCCTGTTCCTGTGAGCATTACCCTGGTAAATCTTATTCAACAGAAGAGTGATAGCTTGTTCCAGTGGCAACAGTTAATTTCACTTTGCAGGTTTTCCAACACTCACAGTACCAGCCAAAGAGCATCTTCCTCAGAGACCCCAGCAAGAGCCCTGCAGGGCGCCTCTTCTAAGCTTTTAAGGTTTTAAAATTCCACCTTCTTCCTTTTGTTCCTTAATCTTAGAATTGCTAGCTGTTTTCTGCGTTTACTGCCTCTGTGATACCTTAGTGCTCCCTTTTTGCTTTTTCAGTTCTTTAATACCTAGCTAGCAATTCTTTATATTGAATTCTCTCTGTTAAACTATCTAGAGTGAATATGGTTTCTGTCTCCTGGTTGGATTCTGACTGATACAGGGTTGTGTTTTTAAAAAAGAATCCTTGTCTTTCAGACATAGTTAATAAAATATTCACAAATTCACAAATGGAAGGATATGACTCTAGAATTTTCTTTAAAAAAATCAGAAGTGGGGGGAATGGCTAGCAGTTAGATGAAACAAGATTAGCCATGCATTGGTAATTGTTGAAGCTGCATGATGGCTTTGTTGAGTTCACTGGACTATTGCCTTTACTTTTGAATATGTTTGAAAATTTTTGTAACATAGCTATTAAAAATAATTTTTAAAGCTCCTATATAAACTTGTGGTACCTATTCAAAGAGAGAGCAACAACAGTTAAGTCTAAGATTGCTTTAAAATAAAGTAAATGATAATAGTCAGAAATAGGGAATTTCCTTTAATAAGATCATTAATTCTAAGTTTTGCTTATTTGAAATTTTGTCTTTTTTTTTTAATTTGACATTGATATTTATCTGAGGAGTCTATTGTGTACTTGATGCTGTATTACACGATCATAGCATTTCAGAATTAAAAAGTATCTTCAAATTAAATCTAGTGCAGAGTCTTCCAAACCATGTTCTTCAGAACAGCAGATTCCTATAGAGGTACCTGAAGTGTTGCTGACGGGGTGGATGCTTAAGTGGGTAACCCTCTACCCCTACTTTAGTCAGAACCACTCAACTCTTAACTATTTTATATACTGGGTGTTTATCAAATTTCATTTGGGAGGGAAAAAACATTCTTATGCTCTTAAAATGTGAAAATTACTGAACTATCACAGATACATCATGCCTTAATCTGTTTTACAACATTCTCACCAATATTTTTCACCAGAAACATCTCACCAGTGTCTTTCAGCCTCTGGTTGAACAGCTCCAATACAGAGAACCCATTACTTCCATCTTAATCTCTTTCCATTAGGATGTTCTTCCTTATACTGAGCCAAAATCTGTCAAACTGAATGATCCACTCTATGTTCTCTTCCACATGACACGCTTCAGATAGGTGAAGTCTCTCACACCCATCTGAATCTTATCTAGGCCAGACTAGCACTCAGCCATTTAAGTCAGGCTTTTCAAACTCAAGTATGCATAAGAATTACTAGGGGTGTTCCTAGACTATCTAGAGGTCCTACATCAAATCCTGTCAACAAGTCCTGTTGACTCCACCTCCACAATGTATTCTAAATCTTTCTGATTCTCTCCATCTCCACTCCTGCCGCCCTAGGTCAGGCCATCTCCATTTTCACCCAGTCTACTGCAATAATGTTAACTGACCTCCTGCTTATATTCTAATTTACCACAATGCATTCATTCTCTTCAAAGCAGCTAGAGTGGTCTGTTTAAAGCATCAGTCAAGTATCACTCACCTACATGAAGCCCTTCAGTGTCTTCCATCCCTCTGACCTGTGTGGCCATTTATGGTCCATCCTTTTCTACCTTTCTGAATTCTCTCCCTCTCACTCATTGTGCTGCAGCTTCCTTGACTTCCTGAAACACATAGATTCACTCCTACCCTTGTACTAATTGTTCTTTGTCCAGACTACTTTCCTTGAGGTCTTTGCATTGCTGTCTCTTTTTTATGATTTAATCTCAACATAAATGTCATCTCTGTAGCAATGCTTACACCTAACCACCAATCAAAAGTAGTCTTCTGGTCAATCTACATATCAAAAATTTTTTTATTTCTTTAATTATACCACCCATCACCATCTAATACTTAAATATGTATTGATTTTGTGTTTTGCTTTGTTTTGCTTCTTCTACTAGAATATAACCTTAGCTATTTTGTTCCCTGCTGAATTACCAACATTAGTACCCAGCCAACAATAGCTTCGCAACAAACCCTCAGGAATCTGCATTTCTGTAGGCATTCCAGGTTTGGTCCATGGATCACACTTTATGAGAGAAACATCGTCCTAGGCAGTATAGAGCCATAATATTTGGAGAGAGCTGGCCCAGGCTTCTAGACAGTTATCCTGAAAAAATTCAGCAGCATTTAGAGAGTGATGAATTAAATAGAATTTAAAGAGCAGTCTAAAGAATGATGACATAAGCACTAGAGTGGAACAATATAGGCAGGGATCAGTTTAACATGATACTCACATATGGTCAAAATTCCTCTTTCAAACCCCGTATCAGAGAGGAGACCACATTTCATCTCAAATTTTTCTCCAATGTTGAAATGATGTTTTTTAAGTTGGGCCTCAGGGACATAGCTGACTTGCATTTAGAGCCATGTTGTATGAAACATGCTGTCAATGCAGTAAGATACGCCCACTCTCAGTACCATGTGGGTACACAGACCAACCGCAGGAACAGCACGGGCGACCAACAGAAGGAACAGTAGATTGACGCCTCCCATTACACAACCTCTTTGGGGCGTAAACTAATTGAGTGGGCTGGTGGGCAGAATTGCCTGCATCATCCAAATCATTTCTCTTTGTCATTGTTCTCTTACTCTCTTAGAAAGAGGAAAAGATAATAAAGTAGTCATTGAGAAGAGGACCAACAGACCAAGAGTAACTGAGATTTCAGACCAACAGGATGGAAAGGAAGAAAACAGTGAGATGAGACAGGTAGAAGGAAAGGGGGAAAGTGTGAGTAATATGTGTGAATGGAAAGGAAGATGGAAATCTATAAAAGTGAAAAATAGAGAATACTGAAGACTAAATTGCACTTAGCCAAAATGATGGGAAAATAAAAAGAGGAAAAGATATGTAGTTAGGATAATAAAAGGGTAAAGTTGTTATTAAAGAGTTCTTTCTTTTGCTTCCTTTGTAGCTTTACATGCTGCTGCCCTTTCCGGCCATGTCAGCACCGTGAAGTTATTATTGGAAAATAACGCTCAAGTCGATGCTACTGATGTCATGAAACATACTCCACTTTTCCGAGCCTGTGAGATGGGACACAAAGATGTGATTCAGACCCTCATTAAAGGTTAGTTATTAGGAGTGCTCCTAATAAGGCACTTTAAAAAGGTAGGATTTCTTGCGTTCGCCCTCTGAAATAACAGCTTTACATCACCGCCTGGGTGGAAGGAAGGAGAAAGAGCACATGGCATCAGGCCTGCTCCTAGCTCCACCTGTTGGTAGTTGTTTGATTTGGGGAAAGTCATTGCTCCTGCCTGATCCTCAATTTCATTTTATGTAAAAGGAAAAGGATCCCTACCCTGACCAACTTACAGGCTTGTAAAAATCTGAAGTAGATGATATACACTGAGGCAGTTGCATTTAAAGGACTGTTCTATTTTTTAAAGTCTCTTCTTTTTGAGACTTGCTCTCTTTGTTAGACGTTTCCATTATACTTCTGCTTTTTCAGGTGGAGCAAGGGTAGATCTAGTTGACCAAGATGGACATTCTCTTCTGCATTGGGCAGCACTTGGAGGAAATGCTGATGTTTGCCAGATATTGATAGAAAATAAGATCAACCCGAATGTGCAGGATTACGCGGGAAGAACCCCGTTGCAGTGTGCTGCCTATGGAGGGTATATCAACTGCATGGCGGTGCTCATGGAAAACAACGCAGATCCTAACATCCAAGACAAAGAGGTAGAAATTCTGGGTCTTCTCTATATTTTTTGCTGTAAAGTGTTTAGAGTATTGCTTCCTTGTTAAGTAAAATTAAGTAAAACAACAGTTTATCAAATGAAGAGATCACTCACAAATCTGTTAATTAAAAATGATTTTTATTTGTCCATGTTCCCTTCTAGTCCTTGCCTCTAGATCCATATGTAATTTTAAAAAGTCATAATATAGAATGGGAATAATTTTATAACTTTTATAAAATCTGTATTCATAGCATTTGTATATATGTATATAAATATATATATGATTTTACAAACCACATTTTGTTTTGTTCATTTAAAATTATCACCATTATTTTTTCATTTGATATGTAATCTTTTTCATAATCATGAGGCTTAATATTGAAAAGTTCTAAGAGCTTTCTGCTTAATAACTCATTCTGTCCTTACAGCAAGTCTATAAAGTAATTACTATTATCATCCCCATTTTACAGATGAGGAAACTGATGCTCATGGAGCTTAAATAGTTACCCTAAGACGACAACAGTGCTGGAGTGTTGGGGGCGGTTAGGGTCCAAACTATTACTGCATCCTCAACTTTGGAGGTTCTAGGGAAGAATCTGTTCCCTTGACTTTTCCAGCTTTTAGAAGCTTCCCTCATTCCTCCATCTTCAAAGCTAGCAATGACTGGCCAAGTCTTCTCACACTGTGTCACTCTGACATTCACCCTTCTGCCTCCATTTTTCACTAACAAGGACCCCTGTGATTACATTGGGCCTATCTGGATAATGCAGGATAATCTCTGCAATTCAAGGTCAGCTTGTTAGCAACCTTAATTACATCTTCAACCTTAATTCTCCCTTTTCATATAATATTATATAGTTAGAGATTCCAGAGATTAGGATGTAGATATCTTTGTGAGGGGGTGCCTTATTCTGCCTACCACACTGATTTGTAGCTTAAATTTTACTGCAGTCAAAAAACATACTCTGAATTATTTTAATCTTTCACATTCTTTTGAGGCTTTCTTTATGTCCCAGCATATGGTTGATTTTGGTCCATGTTCTATGTACACTTAAGAAGAGTACTAATTTTGTCTTTGTTCCATACAACGTTTTATATACATATCACTTAGTTCAAATTTTACATTGTGTTGTTCACGCCTTCTGTATCTTTACCACTCTTTTATCTATTTGTTCTATCAACTGTTGTAAAAGATGAGTTTAAAATCTCCCACTGTGATTATGGATTTGACTATCTCCCGTTTTAATTTAGTCAGTTTTCATCCTCTGTATTTGGAAGCTATGCCATCAGGTGCATATAGATCTAGGATTGTGATATCTTCCTCTTTGGCTCCTTTAACCCTATGAAACCACTTTTATCTCTAGCAGTGCTTCATGCCTTTTTTATCTTTAATGACATTGAAATTTTTTAAGAATACAGGCCATTTATTTTCTAGAATTTCACTCAATCTGGGTTTGCCTAATGATTCCTCATAATTATATTCAAGTTTTATATTTTGGGTTGGAAAATTATAGAAGTGATGTTGAATCCTTCTCATGCTGTCACCTCTGGGATCATATTATGCCTATTAACATAGAAGATTTTGATCACTTATTTAAGATACAGTCTATTTTCTCCACTGTATACTTAATATTTTCCCTTTTTCTAATTAAGCAATTTGGGGGAAATGCTTATATATTTGAGTTAGCATAAATAACTATGTGTCCAAAAATACCTACTCCAAATGTGCTTGGTTTTTGTTTATGCTTGTAGGGAAGGACAGCTTTGCACTGGTCCTGTAACAATGGATACCTTGACGCCATTAAATTACTACTAGACTTTGCTGCTTTCCCTAATCAAATGGAAAACAATGAAGAGCGGTAAGCTGTTGATAAAAATAGTGTATTGTTGTTCATCTCACAAGTTTAGAGGCTGGTTTAGAAATAAGTATACTCACAAGGAAACACTACCCTAAGACATCCTGAACCAGAAGAAAAGAACAAACATTCCACGCAGTGTTGATTTAGAATCATGGGCTCTTAAAGCTATTCAGAACTTTAGACATTTCTGAAGGAAAGCTGACATTTTATAGATGAGGAAATTTAGGCCTTCTTCTGACTTGAGGCTAGCATAAAGTCAGGGGAGTCCTGACTGACCAGGACTAGGAATTTAAGTAGGCCAGCAGAATGTGTTATATATTCAAGAAGTTTCTCTTGATAAAGAGGATTTTATCAATTAGTGAACAGAGGTGCCACTGTATAGCATGAAAAAATAAGGAGTGTCTTAAGACAAAAGTTAGGAATTTTAGTCTAAATACAGATTACTTTAATAGTGTGGGATCCACAGAGTTAGCCAGGGTTGTTGTCCAAGGGCCTGAGCCCAATAAAAAGGACTAGACACATTGTGAAGTCTAAGCAGGAGAGATTCGTGGTTGTCTTAGATCTAGGAAGAGTCCAGTAATTTGTAGGTAACAGCTAAGATGGTAATCAGATTTCAGTACCTGAGTCCCCCCCACCTCCGTCCCAGCCCAGGTCTGTAGTTTTCATTGGTCCTGGATGCTCTGATTAAAACAGCCCCTGCTCTGACACCATCCCCACCCTCTTAGCCACCCAGTTCTTTCTTTCTGTCAGAAGGTGAGAAACTGTAGGGAAGGAGGGACTTGCTCTAGGCCCCACTGTCTGAGGAAACATGGGACCAACCCTGTCATCTTTTCCCCTTCTTTCAGAACCCCTCCCCATTAGTTATACCCTCCATCTGTTTTTTTCTGTTCTCTTTTTTCTGCAGTTTGCCTTCTTTGCCTGTAAAGGCTTCTTTCTCTCACACCGCCTCTCTGCCTCTATTTCCTCACACTCACCATTCATGCCTTTGCAGCCCCGCTGCCATCCTCATGTTTAGACTGAGATCTGCGTGTGAATGGTCACTGGCAAACTCCTAGTTGGTGAATCATCTGATGTCTTCTCTGCCCACTGTCGTTGGCCTTTGTGCATCTCCTGGTTCTGTTGACTCCTCTTCTTTACCTTATTGACACTGGATCTTCTCAAAGCTTCTGTGACAGTATATTTTCCTGAGTCTCTTCTAATTGTGTCTGTGCCTCCTCCATCTCTTTTGGTTCCTCTTGCATTTTTAAATTTTTTAAATATAAACATTCTTCACGGACTGGGTCCCTTCTCTCAGCCTGTCTCCTTTAGTGATCCGACTGAGCACCAAGGCTTCAGCAGTCACCTGGGTGCTGGAAGGCTCTCAGTCTCCATTTCAGCCTCACTACCTCTGTTCGGTTCACACTCGCACCTCCTCTTCATTTCCAGCACAGCTATCTAAATCGTACCCTCTTTCACTCTTTCTGGGACTGTCGCAACGTCTCCTCACTTGTTTTCCTTCCTTTGATCTTTCCTTCATTCAATTCATCGGCTTCCAAAGTAGCCTTTCTAAATCATATTGCTAATGTAACTGTTAATCATGTCATTCCTCGATTCAAACACAGTCTCACCTAAGAAGATTGTCCTGATCCCACAGTCATGTGTCCCAAATACTGTCCCTACACTGTGAATTTTTATAGCACTTAGCATGTTTCACTTTATAACAATTTTATGTAATCTGTCTTCCCTGTTAGCAGAGATCTCCTGAAATCATGGTCGTCTCTGTATTGCTCACAGTGCTTTTTATGAAGTAGATGCTCAGTAAGTAACTGTTGCCTTGTCAAATCGGTGTTTACAGGCTCCCAGCAGCATCGCCCTGCTGCATGCCTGCATACCTAGAAACTTCTAGAATTCTTAGACCACATGCAGATTTAGATAAAGCAGATTAGTAGGTCTTACTTTGTAAGTGACTATATAGAGAACTGACTCTCTCTGTTATAGTCAAATGACAATTTCAAAACAAAAGACTTGAAGATAAGGCATTTAGACATTTAAGGAAACTGAAAGGCCAAGCAAAATTCTCAGGGCTGCAGTTTTGACATTAAAGCAGGTATGTCAGGGTGCCGAAGATTTCTCCCTTTGAAGCCCTAAAAAACAAACAAACAAAAGAGAGTGATTAAGAATCCTAAGAATTAGTGACAATTTACCCCTGTAAAGGATTCATTCTATAATGGTGTTATTGCCTGACTGCTGTTTTTTAGGAAAAAATTAAAAATTTTTTTTGTAATTCAATTCCCATTTATATACTAAGCTTTGAACTTCAGACCTACCTGAGTAAGCGTATAAATTAAGGTGTTTACTGCCTCCTGGAGTAAACATATATTTACTACAGACCGAAAGACCTAAGGAAAAAGCCTCCTACCTGCACTTGCTGGTCTGCCGATGAAAAGAGACTGTGACAATATCCCAGTCTCCTTTAATGTTCCATCAGCAACGTGCCTGATGTACAAGTGTCAGGACTTGGCACTGCCTTGTATGCTTATTGACGTTCCAGTTTAGGCATTCTCCTCATTCCATCAGACCATTCCCACGTGGCAGGTGCACTTGTCTCTTATCTCTTGTGTTTATCTACATTGTTTCTTGACTGGTTACCATCAATGTAGCGCTAATTTTTACTTCTCATGCGTTGACACAAACCACTTGATGTGCACTGTATGGACATAATTTTTGCCAACTACTGCTGGCTTTCAGTCAATAACTAACTGACAGCCACACTCTGACATTGATGGGAATATTCACAGCACTTGAATCGAATTTGGGGTGAAGAAAGATTCGGTAGTAATAATCACAGCATGGTCAGTTGCTTAAACCTGAGGTGTGTCAGACTTCAGTCTTAAAACCTTGCTAGGTATTTGGATTGTGTCTCCCAGTTCAAATCCACAATTGTAATTTGAATAAACCAATTGTTTAAAAAAAAAGACATTTTTGAGAAAATTGGGAAAAATTTGTATTTAGAGTGGTCATTAGATCTTACTATGGAATTCCCATTAATTTTGTTAATACAGTGACATTGTGGTTATGTCACATTATTTATAGATGAATCTAAAATGCAGAGAGAGTAAATGATAGGGGTTCCGGGATTCTGCTTTAAAATACTTCAGCAAAAGTAAAAAGGGAGGGGGTGGATGAAGGAAGTGTGGCAAAGTTTTGCTAATTATTAAATTTGGGTAATGAGTATATAAAGTGTTATGATGCTGTTCTCTCTGCTTTTGTGTGTGCTTGAAGTTTCTCATAATAAAAATATTTAAAATACTTGAAATGCAATTTCCCATCCACAAGCAGCCTGAGAGATCTAGTTCTCCTCTCCTTCCTTTCACCTTTTACAGATGAGGAAACAGAATCTCAGAGAAGTGAAGAGAATGCCCAGGGTCACACAGGTCTTCTGATTCCCAGCTCAGCATTCTAAATAAAATAAATAGCTCATGCTATTTATTTTTGTCCTACTTCTTAAAAAATTTTTTAAATTTAATATATAAAATTTAAAAAAATTGGGGGTAGTGGTGAGGATGTAATTAAGTTCTTTAATTTATTTATCTTTTTTAATGTAGATACTGGGGATTGAACCCAGGACCTTGTACATGCTAGGCAGGCACTCTACCACTGAGCTATACCCTCCCCCATCTCTTTATCCTATTTGTAAGTAAAGGCGTAATTTGGGCCACACTTTCATAAATCATAGTTTGATAATCCTGCTTATATATTAAGTGAAAGATATGACATATTAATAATTATAGAAAAAATGATCAAGCTTGCTAAAAATACATGTTATTTGCATGTTGATTTAGAAGCAGTTTCATTCTATACGAGACATACATGTTCAATAATTGAGAGATGAATTATGGAAGGATTACTGAACAGAGAGTCATGTGATCTTAGTTCCAGTCTAGATTCTGGAAGTTATATAACCTTCAGCAAGTTACTTATCTTTCTGGGTCTGTATTCATTTATGAAATGAAGGTGTTAAACTAAACCTCAGATTCAGTTCATCTCTACTATTGTGTGGTTCTGTGGCACAGAAGATTTTTTTCTATTGGAGAAAGCAGTCATGAAAGGCATTTTAGAATATATAGTGAAATTTGTAAAAGTTCTTCTTGAATTTACAACATGCTATTTATATTTAAATACTGTTTTAAAGTTTATAAAGACCTTACCTACCTTATGGCCTTCTGGTCCCTAACACTAGTGGCAGATTGAGCTGTCCTAAAATGAGGGTTCCTTAATTTTAGCTTTTGGGACTTCGTTCTGAATTCAGAGTTTCCTTACTGAAGTGACCAAAACACCATTTGCCTATACTGAAAAGCTCTTCCTTTTATGTCTTACTGTGACTATTAGGTGAGTTTTAAAAAGAGATAATTTCTTTTCTGTAATCATTGGATGATTTTCTGTGTCTAATCATGCATGCATCCATATAATCACCATTTTTCTGCCTCATATATCAGTTGATTCGTTCCTCCCAGCACTTCTGACTGCTCTGGCTCAGTAACAGTCACCCAGGAAGGATGGGGCCAGGGGTCATAAATACTAGTTTGGGTCCTTTGGAAATAACATTCCTGATAAGCAACTGTGGAATCAACCGCCGTGCTGCCGTGTAGGTCCTGGAATAATGATAGTCACTGCTGACATTTATTAACCGCTTCCTTCTTCCCGGGCACACTGCGGTCTTCTTCACATTTATTGCTTCATTCTCTCCTCATGCCAAGTCCATGATGAGGAAAGGTGGGGCTTAGAAACACAAGTAATTTGGTTAGGAAGTGACAGTTACCGTTACCATTGGTGGATGCTAGAATTTGTGGGCCGGGGGGTTACTTAAATTTTGTACTTTTTTCATTGTTTGATTTCTTAAACAAGTGTCATTTTTACAAAATAATCTTTTTCTATTAAAAAAAAGAAAGCATATTTAGCAGTGGTTAATTCTGAGAGTGGGAGTGTAGATGACTGTTATTTTCTTCTGTGTATTTATCCAATTTGTTTTAGATTTCCAAAAATAGAAAAAGTACATTTTTTAAAAGGAATCTGCCTAAAATCACACATCTAGAAAGTAGTCAGTGGGATTCAAATATATAATCTATGTGACAATAATACCCATTTTTTCTAAAATAATCTATTTATCAAAAAGGCACACACAGTGTACAAAACTGAAATGCGTAGACGGGCGTTCAGTAAAACTAAAGTGATACCTCCTACCTTCTTCCTCTGAGACAACTGGCTTCCTCCCCAGAGGCATCACCATCACCAGTTTCTTGGGAAACTTCGAAAGATGTATTTTACACAGATAGGCACACAGGGATATAATCTATTTTCATACAAATGGAGCACGCCGTAATGCTTTTCTGTTGCTTACTTTTTTCTCTTTTCCTTCACTTAACAAGTCGTCCTGGAAATTGTTCTGTATTTGTTCATATACCACAGTAATGGCTGTATTATACAGGTGACTTGAGGACATGGATGGCCTGTCCTCTGTGGATGGAATTGATTGTTTTCAACCAACTGAGGAAAGAATCAGGAGCCATTAGTATTTCCTGTTTGGTGAACTATCTTTTATCTCTGTTATTGGCGGTTTTTTCAGTCTTCCATAAATTCTTCTAGTACTTCCATGGCTTCCTTTTTTCAAAAAAAATTTAGATTTTGTTTCATCTAGGATTTATCTTAGAGTAAAATGTGATATAAGAATCTTTTTTTTTCCTAGATGGCTACCCAGTTGTCCCAACACTATTTAATAATCTGTCCTTTCTGCACTGATTTAAAGGGCCGTCCTTATCACACCCTAAATCTCTCCATTCAGAGGTACATTTTTCATTTTATAAGCATTAACTGTCAGTAATCATGGGCTCAGACTTAGAATCTCACAGAGTATTATTTGTAGTACCTGTTAAGATAGGAGCAAGGAATTACTTGGAACACGAGGAAGAAGAAAAATAATTGTGTGTTCTCATAGCCCCCAGTTTGTGAACCAACGAGCAAAACTCAGGAATCGATATGGTCAGCAGCACAAAGCGCCTGACCCCAGCTTCCCTCTTGTTCTGTACCCCTCAGAGAGAAAAGGAACAGCAGTACGGAAGGCAGCTTTGCCTGAGGAATATTGCACATCTAAGAATGAGGTTTCCTTCTGTTGCATGATCGTGCCAGTTTAACTGTGCCTTGAATAACCTTCCAACACTTAAAAAAAATCTCCCTGCTTCAGGTACACCCCGCTTGATTACGCTTTGCTTGGTGAGCGCCATGAAGTGATCCAGTTCATGTTGGAACACGGCGCCCTGTCCATCGCAGCCATACAGGACATCGCTGCCTTCAAAATCCAAGCTGTCTACAAAGGGTACAAGGTCAGAAAAGCTTTCCGGGACCGGAAAAATCTCCTCATGAAGCATGAACAGCTGAGAAAGGATGCTGCTGCCAAGTAAGTGTGAGCTCTAGAGACGGTGTCCACACAGCTCAGAGTCAGCACGGAAGGGCGGTGTGGGAGAGTCTGAAAATAAAAGTGGTCCCCGTACCCATGGCACCTTCCCACCTCTGCTCACCAGTCCTTCAGAGGACTGAGGCTACCACGAAGGATACGGTTGTGAGCTCTCCTTGGTGGGTGTTCCTCTGTTTAGTCCTGGATGTTCCAACCCAGGGACAAGCCACTGCCACACCCACCCATGGCAAGCAGTTAGGGGTGGGAGTGTTACCCACAGGAGGCTACGAAGGGATGACTGGTCCTCTTACCTTTCCTGTTTTTCCAAAAGAAACTTACACCAACATCTCTCCTGCTTTCACTAGACTAATCTAAGTCTAGTTTTGATTTGATTAAAGCAACCAACTTGTATAAACAACTTGCTCTCCCCCAGATACTCCCTAACAAATGGGCACTAAGTTATGTAATTTATTCAAGAAATAGTGATTGAATTCTTACTGCACATACAAAACTCTTGCCTTGAGCCTAAGGAGAAAATAGTGACTAAAAGCAAAGTATTTGCTTCGAGGACCTCACACTTCTTTGGATAGTGATACATAATGTGCAGAATAGTCTTGTGCCTACTATACATCGTGGTTATTTGACTGTAAGTGATTGATTTCAGATCACGCTTTGGTTTGCCTTTTCTGTGATACTTGTGTTGAGTATTTTAAATAGCAAGAGAGTATTGTGTTGGCAGCTAGAATACCAAAACCTCTAATGATAAAGATGCGGATGACAGGCAGATTCTTGAGGGATAACTTCCTGGCTGTATCTTGAATGTTTCCAAATCTTGAGTCCTTCCAACTCCTGAATCCTACCGTATCTTGCCCACAAGGGGGAAGCATAAGTGTAATAAATAATGGTCAAAAATAATAATAAAAGGCAGGATAAACCATGTCAGTGGGAAGTTAAATACCACTATGAACAGGAATGCTAACCATCACGTCAGCCTTCAGTAAACAAGATGACAGAAACACATCATTTTCTGACTCTGAAGTTACCGAAGTAGGTGGCATCCCAGGGAGTATTATTTTGTGCTGTTCTCTAAATGAGGCTCTCTTCTCTTCTCTATTACCAGAGGGTCCAGTATTAACCTAAAAGCCACTACATGCCTCTTTTTGCAGCCTTCTCATAAAATTTCTCTACATGTGAATGACACTTGTAAGTAGGTAATACATGTGACAAGTTATCCTGAGTTGCAAGTAAGTATTCTCTGCCAGGGAAGGAATATTGTATTTCCAACTACTGAAGTTTCTGTAAACTCCAGTTTAATGTGTGAGAGTCTGTTTTCAGAATGTGAAGTCATATCCCACCTGCCTGAATATGAGGTGGGACTCCACAAAGGTGATGGGACTGGCTTGGTACGTCCCCCAAAAGGAGGGAAGGAGAGAAACCTTTCCCCGTCTCTCACGTTAGGATGGTGGAAATCGCCTTCCTTAAAGTAAGGATGTGAAAGGAACTGATTAAACGTAAAGTGAATTCTATTTTGCCGATAGAGGAATTGGGAGAGAGAGTTTTAGTCATATTTTCTAAGGCTTTTTTTTGAGAAAATACTATTTAGGAAATACCTATAATCCATTTAAAAGCACTTTATAACTCATACCGCACCTCCTGTGTTGTTGCCAGAATGAACATTGCTGTAATTTACCTGCCAAAGCACAGAGTTGAATGCACACTAAAATAAGACTGTATTTATGTTGATCACTCTTCTTCCTTGAAGCTTCCTTTTTGCCAGGTTTCTATTTCACTCTCTAATCTCAAGTCTTCTCTAACTCCCTGAACTCTTACTTCTCAAAACTTTTTAACTATACCGTCTCCACACTGAGGTCAGCCCTGCAGACTAACTCCTTAGACTTCTATTCATGCTCTGCTTTTTTCCTTGAAAATATATCTACTCTTAAAACTTAAATTACTTCATCTCTGTAGATAACCCCTCCACTTCTCTCACATCTTGACCTCCTGGAACTTTAATCCCAAATCATCCATGACCTGCTGGGCATTTCCACTTTGCTGTCCTTTTGTTACCTGCCAAAATGACAGATCATTGGACATTTCCACTGCATGTCCTGTTGTCACTGTCACTTCAGTCTCACTAAGTGAAACCTACAACTCATCATCACAACCTGTCTCTCGTCTCACCTCCTGAGTTCCCTGCCAGTGTTGCCACCACTGATCTGCTGATACCTCTTCTGAAGTGTCCTTTTGCTTCTATTCTTCTGTCCCACTCCTCTGTACAGGCTGTCATTCTTGAATGCCATCCATGATGCTTCCACGTTTTACTTGCCCTTCTATCTCCAAGTCTCATTTCTCTGCACCAGTACCACCCTCTCACCCCTCACACTCGAGGTCTTAGCCATCCTGAACTTTCTTCACTCCCTCACTTACCACCTTCCTTACACACCACGCTCTCAGGAGACCTAAGCTTCTTTCTGGTGAGTGTATGGGACTGAGTGTGTCTCTTAGAGTTACATAATCAAGTCCAGTTTGGGTGGCCCAGTTCAAACTTGTGATGCTGAAGTCCCTTCCACAGGAGGTTGTTCTGTGTCCTCAGAAGGTCAGGTGACAAGGAATTCTGTGCCTGTCAAGCACCACACTTCATTAGTGGACAGTTCTGTCTGGCAGAAGTTCTTTTCTACCTTTTGGTCTTGAGCTACCCCTTGAAGCAAAAGAGAGAAGTCTCAGTCCTTTTCCATAAATCAACTTTCAGACAATTAAAGAAAGGGCACGTGACACTCGTACTCCTACCTCAGCTCTCCTTTTCACCTTATAATAGATCCTCTGACAGCTGTTCCCCGAATACCCTGTTTGTCAATGCCTTTCTTCAGGGTTGACCCAGAGGTCTGAGTCTTCTGCTCATGTGGAGATCTGATCCATGGGGAATCACTTCCACGATTCTCTTCCATGTCATTCCACTTTTCTGAACCTCAGTTTCTCATCAGTAGAATGAAAAGGTTTCTTAATCCAGGATGGGCTCTGGGGCTCCGTGAATGCCCTGAAACTGTAGGCACTATTGTGTGTGTCATGAGCATATATGCATTAGGGGGAGGAGAGGATCTATAGATTTTTATCACCTTCTCCAAGAGGGTCCATGAGCCATAGAAAGATTTTAAAAATTGGATTAAATGATATGAGGTTCCTCCCAGCCCTCACATTCTGTAAGTCAAAGGTCCTAAAATGCATGACATTTTCTTATTCCCTTGAGAGGAAGTCAAAGACCAACTATTACTAAGCCTATTATTCAGTGACAATGAAGAGATAGAATCTGACAGGCCCCCCACCCCAAGCACCATGCAATACCAGCTGAAAAGGTTAGAGCTAGACCTTTTCTCTCCTGTAAGGTAATCAGTTTCCTCTCACTGGAAATGTTCCAGCAGAAATTGAATTATCATCTCTCCAGGATAATATAGAAGGAATTTTTTAAATTATGTAAAGAGCTGGTCTCTCAGATCTCTTCCACGTCAAAGATTCTGTGAGAACTCTGTTCTCCCGTCTGCCTTAAATACCCTTCTTTCACTTCCCTCTTTTCTCATTTTGGCGTCATTTCTATGTAGCCATTTTTTCCTCTTCCAGTTTAGTCTCCCACTTCCTCCCATAGCTCTGCGAAGATACCTCTGTTCCAGCAGCATCACATCTAGAACTCACTCTCTGCAGGAGTGTGTGGATCTGATTCCCCAGGAGATTGTCAATTCCTTGAGAGCAGGGATTGTATTATGTACCTCCATACTTCTAGTGCCTTAGAGTCCTTGATATGTCATAAGAATTTAATAATAAATGTTCAATAACTACTCCTGCAGTGGGTCTAAGACCTTACGTGAGTCAGTCATCATTCTGGGCCTTAGTTTCCCTCTTTTTCAAATGGAAGGGCTGGACCAGTTCCTCTCTAAGGTGTCCTTAACAAAATTAGTTTACCCCATTCCTGTACCAGGACCATGAACAGGAATGGCATCGGGGCAAAGCCGGGTTAAATCGGTACAACAGCAGGGCACACTAACCTGACTTCCCTTTTCTGTGGAAACCATTTTAATCACATCTCTCAAACCTCTCATAGTCTTGTATTCAAGGCAATTGGCAACTTGAATACTCATGGAATGGGAATGAGCCTGCTTTAAATTTCTGCAGTGTCTGATAGAATTCATTTCTTCTAGTTAGAACTGGACAAATACAACACTCTGTGGAAGCCACATAATGGAGTAGGGAAAAAAAAAACCATCGACTCGCAGGACTCAAAAAACTTCCCAGGCCCAGAGGCAGGTCTGTGCCATATTGTGCAATCGGACAGATCCAGTGAGGAGATGCTGAAGCCGTAGGACATTCAAGTTGTTGAAGTTACTGCCCTTGATCTGGGTCTCTGCACATCAATCTTTTGATCCCTTGGTTTCTTATTGGCGTTTTTTGTACAGTTGACATCTCGGCTACTAATTTGTAGAAGTCCCCATCCTTGGGTCTTAGATCTGGTTTGGGAGGGCTCCAGGGTATATCTTTGCCCCACAACTGTCCTTCAGAGATTTGCACCAGCCTCGGGTCTTTTCCTCCCTGGGTGGAACAGCACCCATGCCTTCAGCCCATCATTTGGAGATCCTCTTGACCTTGTGCTGCACAGGACCCGAGGCAGATGTTAAAGATCTGATCCCCAGTTGGTGTTCTCACCTTCTTATACTGTAAGCCTCTGGGGAGCTGCAAAAGTTGCTCTAGAAAAGACAATACCCACCAGACTAATTGGTAGCCCAACAAAAGCTGTTGTCTGGATGATTTCCTTCAATGTAATAGAAAAAAAAAAAGAGGAGAGGAAAATGTGAGACTATTTTATGTATTAGGATTCTGCCACCTTAATAAATTTTATGCTAAAATGTTACTTGATATGTCATGGACAGAATTTTTTTTTCTCTTTAAATTTTTGTGTAAACCAGAATAACATTGGTTCTTCTTCTTGTATCTGTTTCCTAAACTTTATAAAAATAGGTCAAATGTATAGCATGGCCCACTATGAAAATTAAAGATCTTTGACATTCTGTAAAAAATTAGTTAGGAGGAAAACACTTAAATTTTAGGACATTTCTTGAGTCTTAGAGTGTAGGAATAAAAGCTACACTAGAAGCCAGCTTGAAATGCTGTTAATGGTTACTTTGATGTGATGTTACCACTTTCTTCTTATGACCCAATTCATTTTTTAAATGAAGCAAGAAGATTGAGTGAAATTTTGAAAAATAATTTTGTCATAGAGATGAATTTTACAGGAAGAAATAAAGCCGCTGAGGTCCAGCTCAGCTTTGTGTCTAGTTTACCATGTAGCCTGGGGTAAGTCACTCAGCTCTCTGCCTCAGTGTCCTTATTTACCAGATAAGAGCAGAGCCCTCAGTAAACTGGGTTTCCTTCAAATTCTTAGACTAGAAGCAGTGGTTCTGGATCTTTCTGCCCAGGAACACACGCGCGCACACACACACACACACACACACACACACACACATGTGGGATCATGTGCTCCTCTCAGGAGCTGTATCCTGTGTGTGTGTGTGTGTGTGTGTGGTCATGGTGGTGGTTGTTGCTTTCTGTTTCAGGGCAGCAGCGTAGATAAGACAGGATGCGGGTTATGCATAATTTCCCATTTTTATCTCACTGCCTTTTCCTCAGTGATCACTTCCTTTACATCAAGAACCACAGCTCTGGAGAACTGCACAGTTGTGGGCTGGGCGCCACCTGGCAGTTATTTTTAATGCAAATGCATCAGTTTTTAGAAAAACATTAATTTCTTCTATTCATCACCTGAGGTGTAATTATATATTCTCACTATTACATTCTTCCTCCCGAATCAGCTTACTGAGCTCTACCAAAATGAAAAAAAAAAAACCCTTGCAAACCTCCCCCTCCAAGAATTTTTCAGGAGGCAGAACTTGCTTGCTTTCTGGACATCTGATCACTCTGAAAGACTGAGATCCCCTGTTTGTCCTGTGGCTGCCTTTGTGGAGGCCCAAAAAGGGCCTGCAGGGACAGGGTTGGCCCAGAGGCTGATTGCACAGTGGTCTCTCGGAGTTGAAAAGGAAAGCTGTTTGGTTTCCTAAAGAAAAGGTAAATGACTGCTCGAATAACAGAGTCTAGGTTATCACCTCAAAGCCCCTCCCGATGGCAGTGATATCCATGCAGATGCCAAGACAGACAACCACACACATGTGTCTGTCTGGAGGACCAATATTCTCTTAAAGTGGTTTGGCTTATCAGGGCCAGTACGAAGAGCATCACTCCCTCTGCCTGCCGGGAGCAAGGCAGTTAGATCAGTTAGCAGCACTTCCACCACCCAGATGCTTCTACCTTCTTCCAAAAAGCAGCTTTCTCCCAGACAGAGCACACTGAAATGGCACCTGCTAGCATCCATATGAATCTCAGCACTGATGACGACAAGCTGTCCAGCTCACTTGTTGTTGCATCAGCACACACAAGTGTCCGCAGTTGGCAAAGCACATCACAAGACCAGACTCTGGTGAAAACACTTGAGCTGGGCAGGAGTCAGCACAGCCCATCTGGCCTCTTTCTCTGGGATGGACTCCCTGGAGGACGATCAGAGAAGCAAGCTTGGACCTCAGATCAGGGGCTTCACCACACAGGACAAGAGACCTTCCAAAGGGGAAGATAAGTTGACAAGGCTTTAGAGTATAACTCAGGTATCTGTCATCTGGGGCTTCCGTGTCCCTTGAGATCTAAATAAGCTTGGCTTTTAATTGCACAGTCTGTGGAAATATGAATTCTTTGACTTCTTCAGGGACTTGGGGTCTCTGCCTCAGCTCTTGCTTCATGTCTGGTATCTTAGCCCTGCAACTGGTCAGGTTGCTTATAAAAAAGCGTGTATGAGCATGGGAGGCTGTCCACAAAGCTGGTGTCATGGGGGAGACTCAGTTTCCCAACCCAAAGTGGTAGAGTTAACAATCCACACAAGACTTTCCTGTTCTCTGAAGCCTTACTACTCAGGGTGTGGTCAGAGGACTGGGAACACCTGTATGACCTGAGTGCTTGTTAGAAATGCAGAATCTTAAAACTATAAATCAACTCTACTCCAATTTAAAGAGGAAAAAAAAAAAAAGGAAATGCAGACTCTTGAGCCACACCCCAGGCCTGGTGAATCAGAATCTAGATTTTAACAAGATCTCAGGAGATCCCAGTTTACCAAAGTATGAGGATCACAGATCTAAAGGCTTTTCTGTCTTCCTGAGCAGCAAATATATTGGGTGCTGCTGTGTATAGCAAGCACTGTTTAAAGATCAAAAGAAGCAAAACCAGCCTGTTTTTCCGTATTATTTGCCTTTGCCCAAACTACTCCCTCGGACTAACATCCTCGTTCCCAACTATCTGCCTGGCAAACTCCTACACATCTTTGAGAATCAACAGTTGAGACTTTCTTCCAGATTCCTCCACAAAATTAATCACTAATTCCTCTGTGCAAGCACACTATTATAATATTTCTTCCACTATATGTTAGGTCTTTGTTGTCCTAGTTGTCCCCCTCTGGATAGAAGGTTCTTCAAGGGAGGGCTGAGTTCTCTGGTCCTCATTACTATATCATCAGTGCCCAGCACAGGAGAGGCTTAGAAAATGTTAGTTTTCTTCCCTTTTTTTACCCTTGGCAATCCCTACAGATTAATGGCATCAGTCAAGCAGATCCTTTCCTTAACTTAGCCCCTTTGTCCTCAAGCACCACGCCCATTTCTGGACCTGGGCCACCTTGGACCCATCTGTATCAACCACCACTCATTTCTAGTCCTGGCATCCCCTGGCCAGCGCTCTTCTATTCTGTTGCTACCCAAAGGTTTCAGCTTAGCCACCAGCTACTTGTGTATGACTTTTTGAAAATCATCCTACCTTCTGTACCTCATCTGCAAGATGAGTGGGTTTGACCCATTAGCTAGAGCTCTTGCTGGCAGTATTACAGCTACAGGTGTGTTATAAGCAGTTGGGAGGTGCTTTGTAATTTTTTCATATAATCATGAAGGTTTGCCAATAGTCTTTTTAATAAATAGAGAAGATTCAAGGTTATCGTATGACTTTTATTCTCTATTGCATCCTGATGTGCTTTCTGGAATAGGAGAGAAAAGGGTGTAGCAACAGGTAGTCCCAGGGATCACACACAATCTTGGGGCACACACACCTTGGGATTATGTTGTCTCCCCAGAAAGTTCTGTGATTATCTGACGTGTCTCAGCCGGGCACAGGTTGATCTGTAGGATTCTTTCCAGCTCCATCATTTTTTGGGCTATAAGACATGGGTAAAAGACAGGAAATTGTGAAATTGTGGAAACTGCAAATTTCCAAATCCCCCCTGTATTGTAGTAGCTCCTTTTAAAATTTAAATCCCACTGAGGAACACTTGAACAGGTAACAGAATTTTTTCCTGTTCCCCCTTGGTGTTGCTCCCAGGAAGAGAGAAGAAGAAAACAAGCGGAGAGAGGCGGAGCAGCAGAAGGGAAGGCTGAGCCCAGATGCCTGCAGACCCCAAGCCCCTCCTTGTCTGCTCAGTGCCCAGGCTGAGCCCCGCGGGCAGAGCTGGGCCCCCAGCAAGCAGCCTCCCTGCAGTGACACAGCCCAGGGCCCTGAGCGGAAAGCCTGCGGACGGTCTTCAGGCAGAGGGTCTCCAAGCAGAGCCCCCCAGAAGGAGCAGCGTCCTTCCCCAGACCTGCAGAAAACAGTCCCCAGAAAGCCAAATGGTAGGTGTGTTGCGTTTGTTGTTCGATACTTACCCATGGACTGTGGGCTCTTTTGATTCATGTGTTTAGGCCATTTACATTTAAGGTAATCGTGTCAGCACTTAAGCCTGCCATTTCATTATTTCTTTTCTCTTTATTTCCTCTGTTTCTCTTTTTTTCCCTTCCTGTGAGTTACTAGAACTTCTTTCAGGATTCCATATTGACTAATTTGTAGTGTTTTTCAGTACATCTTTTTCTATAGTTTTTGTGGTTGTTGCTCTGAGTTTTATAATACATATATCTATGACATGGGTAGTATTACAGTATACTTATATATGATATATATGATATATATAAGTTGACTTAGTCTACTAGTATGAACATTTTATCACTTTGAGTGAAGTGTGGAAACCTCACTTCCATTTAGGTAACTTTACCTTCCTCACTTGTAAATATCATTGATTGGGTATCAAATGCTGTTACAATTTTTGTCCCAATCACCAAATATATTCTCACATAAAACTCATGGGGAAGAGGAGAGTCTAGTTTATGTACCCCTATTTCTGTTTTTGTGTTGTTTCATCTTCCTTCCTGGTGCTCCAAATCCCTTCTTTCATCATTTCCTTTCGGTTTGAAGAACTTTCTTAGCCAAAATTTAAGGGCAGTTCTGCTAGCAACAAATACTTTGAGTTTTCCTTTGAGAATGTTTTTATTTCATCCCTGAAGAATTGTGAAACCAGATGTAGAATTTACCGGCAACAGGCCTTTCAGCCCTTGAAGAAGACAGCGCCACTTCCTTCTGGCTTCCAAGGTTTCAGACGTGAAAGCCACTGTCATTCAAATTGGTGTTCCTTGGTAATGTTCCTAGGTAACATGCCATTTCTCTCTGGCTGCTTTTGAGAGTTTTTTCTCTGTCTTTAGTTTTCATTAGTCTAATAGGGTATGTCTTGGCATAGATTTAAAGTTTATCATGTATGGATTTTGCTTAGTGTGTTAAGGGTGCCCAAGACCACCCCAGGTTCAGTAAGTTGCTGGGAGGACTCATAAGACCAAGAATACATTTGTACTCACAGCTATGATTTATTATAATAAAAGAA